ATACATATTTTTTTTTCTCTATAAATAAATACATAGTAAATAAAACATTATAATTTTATACAATTTGTGCTGATAAAATAACTCCAAAATTACATGTTCAAATAACTGAATAAATTTTGATTTAAAATTCAATTTTTATTAAAATTTTTTTACTCTAATTAATGTAAAAAATAATAAAAATTTATAAAAATATACACTCTGTTTTTCGATTCATCTCAATCAAATTATAAATAATAATGATAATAATAATAGTATGTCCGTGACTTGATCTTATGGTAATATCTATTATATATGGTCTTGAACCTTGTACATAATTGTATAAATAATAAAAGTTAATGTTAAAAAAAATAAACAAATTTTGTGAAAATTTTTAAAAATATCAATCACTTAGTTAATTAATAAAAAAATATTAAACACTGTAATAAGTGATATTAAATAACTTTTATCGTAATGAGTCAAATTCTTGGGTTCTTGATCTCACAGCGGGCACTTACACGTGCAATGATGGAAATTTCCATTTGTAAATCCCAATGGCGTAACTACATATAATATAAATTTAATAATTATCAAATAATATTATTAATTTACTTGAAATTGTTTATTTTTATTGATAAACATAAACAGTATTGTATTTCTTAATTAAATAACTCTTTTTTATTTTTTTTTTTTTACTATTTAATTATATAAGTTTGTTTAAATAATCGTAAATTTCTAATCCTTAGATTTATATTGATTGGGGTTCATAAATAAATTAAAACGATAATAACTGTTTAAAATTTTATTTAACACATGTCATAAAAATCGCTATACACTGTCATTTTAATAATTCAAGCATCCAAAACAATTTTATTTCATTTGTTTTAGTTTTATTGTTATTACATTTTTATTTTGGTGATGTGTAGTTACAATTATTTTCCAACATAAATTTTATTAAATATATTTAATATTTATTATAAAAATTTCGTAGTTATAGATATACATAGTTTACAAATACACTGGAATGTTGAAACATCATTTTATTATTATAAAACCTTGAATACCCAAAATCATTAATATAATAAAACGATAATCTATTTAATGTTTTTTATATATTTTAATATTTTGCTGCTGATTATTTTTTTTCAATTAATATCAAGGTTTAAAAGTGATATAAAATAAAAAAAAATCTTATTTCTAATTAATAAAACTACAATCTTAAAAAATATAAAAGTTGAAACAAAAACAAAACACTGAAAAATAATGTTTATAATTGACAAAAATGTAAGAAAAATAATTTTTCTCCATATCCTTAATTCAACTATCATATATTTATATATTAGTATATAAATATATATTTTATTAAACCTGGGTTTTTTTTGGCAGTGATATTTAATCATGAATAAGATAAAATATATAAACAGCCAAATTTGAATTTAATTATATAATAATAGTTGTCATTTCACAAGTATATCATAAAAGTAATCAATAAAACTAATCGTATACTAGAATCAATAAAAAAAATAAATAAAAGTAGTTATAATGATAATCATTAATAAATAAATTACTTAATTTTAAGATAAAATAAATAAAGAAACAAAATACTTCGTTATTACGTCTGAGCAAAAACATGACAAACTTAAATAGCATCTAAGTAAAATCAGCCCAAACAATAATTTTTTTTTCAACATATTTAATTATTTTTTATCTATCCGACACTGCTTTTACTAAAATTAATAACTAATGATCAAACTGTTTAAATATAATCTTATCCATGTGTCAAAAAATCGGCTCAAAAAATCCCAAACTATTACAAACACATAATATAATATATACATAGTGAACTCTTAATTAATTATCGATTCTCATAGTTCATAAACTGTGTGATCTTTTGCTTCAGTAATAATCGAATCAATAAACAAATTGAATGATAACAAAACTGTAACATCTAATAAAAATTTTCTAATAATGAAAGTATAGTCGTGCGAAAAATATATATATATATATATATATATATTTTTCGCACGACTATACTTTCATTATTAGAAAATTTTTATTAGATGTTACAGTTTTGTTATCATTCAATTTGTTTATTGATTCGATTATTACTGAAGCAAAAGATCACACAGTTTATGAACTATGAGAATCGATAATTAATTAAGAGTTCACTATGTATATATTATATTATGTGTTTGTAATAGTTTGGGATTTTTTGAGCCGATTTTTTGACACATGGATAAGATTATATTTAAACAGTTTGATCATTAGTTATTAATTTTAGTAAAAGCAGTGTCGGATAGATAAAAAATAATTAAATATGTTGAAAAAAAAATTATTGTTTGGGCTGATTTTACTTAGATGCTATTTAAGTTTGTCATGTTTTTGCTCAGACGTAATAACGAAGTATTTTGTTTCTTTATTTATTTTATCTTAAAATTAAGTAATTTATTTATTAATGATTATCATTATAACTACTTTTATTTATTTTTTTTATTGATTCTAGTATACGATTAGTTTTATTGATTACTTTTATGATATACTTGTGAAATGACAACTATTATTATATAATTAAATTCAAATTTGGCTGTTTATATATTTTATCTTATTCATGATTAAATATCACTGCCAAAAAAA